TAAAAAGTCAATGTATCTGATGCTCCAGACACCCATTCTGCATGTGCTGTGGTTTCCAGTAAAACACAAAAATGAGGTAATTTTTAATTTTTATTATGTTCATGACTCTTGCAAAACCTAATCAGGGTAAAATTTCTTCATTTTTCTTATTAAATGCACAATGTAGAGTATGCACTTTCAGTGTCTTGGGCTAAAAAGAGAATTTCCCCTATCATTACCTTTTTATAGGTAATGTTGGAGAAAATTCCTTATAAATTGTGCATAATCTAAACATTTCAAATTAACTTCTTTTCCTTCTCTTTGTAAACCCAGATAAAGAACTATGAAATTGGCTTATATATTACTTTCTCTTTCCCCTTCGTCTGTTCCCTTTTGGGACTTAATAATTGGGTAGAGTAGATAAGGAGAGAAAGGATTATGACATGGCCAGAACTGGGAACCATTTTTTTTCCTAAAGAATTATTTTATTTAACTTTATTTATTTTAATTTGACCAGAGAGGGACAGAGAGAGAGAGAGAGAGAAAGAGAAAGGGAGAAAGCAAGCTGCCAGGTCTGGGACTCGAACCATGGTCAGCCATATGGAAGTCCAGCACCTTTAACCACCATGCCACCTGCCAGCCCCAGAACTGGGAACCTTGAGAAGAGGTAAAACCGATCAAAGGCCACAACACACACACACACACACACACACACACACACACATTCACATACACACTTCAAGAGCAGGGAGGGAAAATAAAGAGATGTGGGATAATGACAAAGAAAAATAAATTCTTTTTTTGTGAACTGGAATAGAACAACTGATCTATAGCATTTCTATATATGAACAGCAGGCAGACTGAGATAGAACTGAAAAAAATAATTCCATTTACCATAGCCACAAAAAGTATAAGATACCTAGGAATAAATCTAACCAAAGGAAGTTAAAGACTTCCATAAGAAAAACTATAAGAAGCTAAGAAAAGAAATTAAAAACAACACAAAAAAGTGGAAGGACATCCCATGTTCCTGGATTGGAAGAATTAATGAAATCAAAATGGCAATTCTACCCAAATTAATCTACATATTTAATGCAATCCCCATTAAAGTGCCAGTAACATTCTTCACAGATCTACAAAAGACAATCATACAATTTATCTGTAATAGATAAGGTTTATTATTTGTTGACGAGAATGTATATGGTGGTTTCAACGGGGCTGGACTGAGGTGTATATTATGCTGGGTAAGGTCTCTTCACAATCTAAATGATGTATAACAATTTAATGTATGAATAATAATAAAATTTTTTAAACAAAAAAAATCTCATATTGCCAAAGCAATCCTGCACAAGAAGAGTGGAGTGGGTGGCATCTCACTCGCTCACCCAAAATTATACTACAAAGCTATGGTATTCAAAAGAGCATGGTATTGGCACAGAAACAGACAGGTGGACCAATGGAACAGAATAGAAACCCCAGAAATGAACTCCCAAACATACAGCGAACTGATTTTTGACAAAGGGTACCAGTCAATCCATTGGGAAAAGGAAAACCTCTTTAGCAAATGGTGCTGGAATAACTGTATATCCACCTGCATAAAGATGAATCTAAACCTCTACCTCTCACCATTGACAAAAATCAACTCAAAGTGGAGCAAAGATCTAAACCTAAGATCTAAAACTACAAAATTACTGCTGGAAAACACTGGGGAAACTCTGAGAGACATTGGGGTAGGCAAAGACTTCTTAAATAAAACCCCCAAGGCACAGGCAATAATCCCAAAAATAGACAAGTGAGATTACATCAGATTAAGAAGTTTCTGCACTGCTATGAACACAATAGTCAGTGTGAATTGACAGCCCTCAAAATGGGAAAATATTTTTGTAAACTATGCATCAGATAAGGGACTGATAACCAGAATACACAGTGAACTCGAACAGCTTTCCCCAAAGAAAAGATGATTTACCCTATTAAAAGATGGGAGAATGAGTTGGAAAAACTTCTCTCTAAGGAAGTTATGTGAATAGCCAAAAGGCATAAGAAAAAATGCTCAAAATCCCTCATTATAAGGGAGATGCAGATCAAAACCACAATGAGATACCACCTAACCCCAGTCAGAATGACTAAGATTGAAAAAAAAAAAGATAAATGCTGGTGGGGATGTGGTGAAAAGGGAACATCTACTACACTGCTGGTGGGAATGTAAATGGGTCTAGCCACTATGGAGAACAATACAGAGATTCCTCAAAGATCTACAAATAGAACCACCATATGATCCAGCAATCCTATTCCTTAGTATCTACCCAAAGGACAGAAGAATCTCGAGTTGGAAAAGTGCTTGCACATCAATGTTTACTGTGGCATTATTCACAATTGCTAAGACATGGAACCAACCCAAATGCCCATGAACAGATGAATGAATTGAAAAGTGTGGCAAATATACTCTATGGAATACTACTCAGCCATAAAAAAAAAGACCCTGGCTTTTGACAGAAAGTGGATGACTGCTGAGTGAAGCAAGCCAGGCTATGAAGGAGAGATATTATATGTTTCCACTTAATATATACCAAATGTCACACTCTATAGCTGAAACTGAATGACTAGAGGATATAGAAACATAGAAAATGGTTATAAATACTGGATAAGTGTGAGAAGAGAGTGGGTGAAGGAGGAGAGACTGAGGAGGGACACTGGGGAGAGAAATGGAGGGGCGGGGCATTTGTGGGACAGAGAGATGGGGTATTGTCTGTTGGGGATGATGTGTACAGTATTCCCAACTGAATTGGTGAAAAATGTATACATGTTGGAATATTCACTTTGCAAGCTAAGTGACATATGTGATTGAATGTATAAAAGAAATTAAAATAAATGTATTTTAAAAAGAACAACTGATCTGTGCAACTCATAATTAAATAATTCTGTTTTTCCATGCTCCTGCATGCCATGTTCCTTTTTTATTTTCTCTTTGAGATCACTGAAAATAAATGCATGCTAATTTTTAGAAGGTTACTTTTTTCATAAGATATACCAGAACATAGTTATGATCATATATTGGGTTGTTAGAAAAGTCAAGACATATTTTTCTATTTTTCTGTGCAAAAACGTGTCATGACTATCCTGACAACCTAATAGTTATCATGTGGGTAAGTGCTTTCTCCTAAAATCTCAGAACACTTAAACATAGTATAATTTTTAGGCTGTGAAGAGTGAAAAATAAAAATGCCTAGAGCCCATAGAATCTAAAGAGAAATGGCAGAAGACCTAGTCTTCTTATACTTAGCCTCAGAATTTGGTCAACACTCTTCATCTATAATAAAATATTAGAAATATTAATATTTTAACTTTTAATTTAATATTTGTCAGTAATTTTGGTTTATCTCCCAACCAATGATTTTTT